AGATGGGGCAGGTGGTGGCACGCTAGGAGCGTGGGGGGGCACAGGAGGTTGTACATTCGCGTCGGCAGCAGCATCCACTACTTGATTTGCTCGCAGGAGAGTGAGTACTTGTTCCAACAGCATTTCAGTACGGGAGGCCGAAGTCGAGGCGTGTGATGCAGCATGGCGTGGTGACTCAACAGGTTCGTCCAAAGGCAAGGAAGATGTGGGATGATCCATAACGGCATGGGCAGGGGCATGGCTTTTCACAGCGGCTGAACGTTCACGAAGTTGCATGTTGGCAAGTTTGAAAGCCAAAGAAGACCTGGTCGGTTGGCCTACATCAGCGGGAGGGCGTAGAGCAAGCGGTGAAGAACAGAGAGAACCGTCTTCTGAAGCATCCTTGCTTTCCCCCAACAACCCAGAGCTACGAAAATCACCTCAATCATACATCACTGGCCTGTTACCGTGGCCTGACCTCCGTCGCCCTTTCCCACCGCGACTGCTGTCAGTGCTGGTCGCCCTGCTATTGCCCCCGCTCTGGTTCTGGCTCCGGCTACGGCTACGCCTAGACGGAGGCGTGTTTCTCCCACGACGGTCTCCGCTCCGGCTGCGCCCACGCCTAGACGAAGGATCGGTGCGCTGCNGCTGGTCGCCCTGCTATTGCCCCCGCTCTGGTTCTGGCTCCGGCTGCGGCTACGCCTAGACGGAGGCGTGTTTCTCCACGACGGTCTCCGCTCCGGCTGCGCGCACGCCTAGACGAAGGATTGGTGCGCTGTTGTCGCTCTGCGCTCCGACTCCTGCTCCGGCGATGGCGACTCGCCGGCGAAGACCTCGTAGGCTGGTTCCCCACGGTTCGCCCTCGCCTGTTATCTCCGACGCCGCGCCCTCGCGAAGACTGGGTGAAGCGGTGGTGGTCGTCCGTCCTGCTCTTGGCCGTCGAATCTCGGTCGCCCCAACGGTTCTTCCAGCTCTTGGACACCGGCGCCGCCGACCTACTGAAATCCTTGTTTTCTCCAGAACCATGTGCAGGGCGTGAAGAGGCCTGCCGGGGGGCTTGTAGATCGTGCTTCAAGTCGTTGGTCGAAGCAGCACGAGCAAGAGGCAGCTGGAGTCCTCCCAATGGGCCACCACCGACGTTCCTTGAGGACCTTCATGAAAGGTGGCACGACGGAGAGCGAACAACAGCTGGAACACGGACTGCCGCGAAGAAGGCGGAAGTTTCGCGAGGTACGGTGTGTGGTAGATGTGCCCGAAAGCAACGG